CTTGCGGGGTGCTGGGTGTCCCTTTCGGGGTGCTGGGTGTCCTGGGTGGGTGCTGGGTGTCCCTTTTGGGGTGCTGGGTGTCCTAGTTGGGTACTGGGTGTCCCTTTCGGGGTGCTGGGTGTCCTGGGTGGGTGCTGGGTGTCCCTTTTGGGGTGCTGGGTGTCCTAGTTGGGTACTGGGTGTTCCTTTCGGGGTGCTGGGTGTCCTGGTTAGGTCCTGGGTGTCCCTTTCAGGGTGCTGGGTGTCGTGGTTGGGTCCTGGGTGTCCCTTTTGGGGTGCTGGGTGTCGTGGTTGGGTCCTGGGTGTCCCTTTTGGGGTGCTGGGTGTCCTGGTTGGGTCCTGGGTGTCCCTTTTGGGGTGCTGGGTGTCCTGGGTGGGTGCTGGGTGTCTCTTGTGGGGTGTTGGGTGTCCCTTGCAGGGTGCCGGGTGTCCTGGTTGGGTCCTGGGTGTCCCTTTTGGGGTGCTGGGTGTCCTGGGTGGGTGGTGGGTATCCCTTGTGGGGTGCTGGATGTCCTGGTTGGGTCCTGGGTGTCCTGGTTGGGTCCTGGGTGTCCCTTTCAGGGTGCTGGGTGTCCTGGTTGGGTACTGGGTGTCCCTTTTGGGGTGCTGGGTGTCCTGGTTGGGTACTGGGTGTGCCTTTTGGGGTGCTGGGTGTCCTGGTTGGGTGCTGGGTGTCCTGGGTGGGTACTGGGTGTCCCTTTTGAGGTGCTGGGTGTCCCTTTTGGGGTGCTGGGTGTCCTGGTTGGGTCCTGGGTGTCCTGGTTGGGTCCTGGGTGTCCCTTTCAGGGTGCTGGGTGTCCTGGTTGGGTCCTGGGTGTCCTTTTTGGGGTGCTGGGTATCCTGGTTGGGTACTGGGTGTCCCTTTCGGGGTGCTGGGTGTCCTGGGTGGGTGGTGGGTATCCCTTGTGGGGTGCTGGGTGTCCTGGTTGGGTCCTGGGTGTCCTGGTTGGGTACTGGGTGTGCCTTTTGGGGTGCTGGGTGTCCTGGTTGGGTCCTGGGTGTCCCTTGCGGGGTGCTGGGTGTCCCTTTTGGGGTGCTGGGTGTCCTGGGTGGGTACTGGGTGTCCTGGGTGGGTCCTGGGTGTCCCTTGCAGGGTGCTGGGTGTCCCTTTTGGGGTGCTGGGTGTCCTGGTTGGGTGCCAGGGTGGCACAGCGGGTGACAGGCCCTCCCTGCAGACCGGAGCCGTGCAGGAGATGCGATCCAAGGGCGGCCGGGAGCGACAGTGGAGCAACTCCCGGGTGTTGTAGCGTGTGAGTCCACGGCCCCCCCAGCACCCCCTGCCCCCTCGGAGGCACCAGCACCGAGTGGCACCCGAAGGAGCCCCCTCTCCTGCGCTCCCGTAACCCAGCCTCTGGGATTTCACAGATTCCTGGCGTTTTCAGCCCAAACTTGAACTGCCCCCCCCCCGCCGGAGGAGAGGCCGCCCTGGAGGGCTCGAGCCCCGCGGTATTTATGCAGCACCAGCCTCGCCCAGCTCCCGCTGACTCCTGGTCCTCATCCCCCCGGAAAATCCCTCCTTCCCGGGGGGACAGCAGCCCCCTCCTCCTGCCCCCCTTGGAAAGGACCGTGCCAGGAGCTGCCAGGAGCTGCCAGGAGCTGCCAGGCGCAGCCCGCGCGTGCCAAACCTCCCCGGGATGCCAAACCTCCCCGGGATGCCAAACCTCCCCAGCATTCCCTCTGTCCGCTCCGGCCGTGCCTCAGTTTCCCCAGGGAGAGGGTGCAGAGGTGGCTTTGGTGCCTCCTGGAATGGCACGGAGGAGCAAAACCGGGATTAACCCCCAACGTTCTGGTGCCAAAGCGGGGCCAAACCCGAGATGTTCTGGTGCAAACCCAGGACAAGGTGTAAAACGGGGATCAAACCCCGGTGCTTCAGTGCAGAGCAGGGACTAAACCCCAGTGCTTTGGAGCAAAGCCAGGATTAAACCCCGACGCTTTGGGATCAAACCCCGACGCTTTGGTGCCAAACCAGGATCAAACCCCGACGCTCCGGGATCAAACCCCGACGCTCCGGTGTCTCACCATCACCGAGCCCGCAGTGCCTCCCCCCGGCGTTCCCACCACTGCCAAACTCCCCCCCTTTTTTTTAGGATATGTTCTTTTTTTTAAGCTCCAAAACCCACCTGAGCAGCCTCTGGCGGGGCAGGGCCGTGGTGGGGTCCCCTCCACCCAGGACTGTCACCTGCAGAGGCAGGACAGGGCCCGACCCCAGGAGGCTCCCGAATTCAGGCGCGGGTGTACATAGTTTAATTAGCGCCATTTAATTAGGATTAAATGTTAAAACAGCCTGTGCTGGGTGGCAGAGCCTTTCCCCTTCCCTGGGCTCCACCGGGATGCTCCGGGCAGAGCTGGGCTTTGTGTTTGCAGGGGGGGATTGCAGCCCAGGGGAAGAGGGGCTTCACCCCCTGGAGCGGGTGGGGGGCACCCCTGGCATCAGTGGGGCAGCACCAGACCCGGCCCACAATAAAAGCCAAGAGCTCAAAGTGGAAGAAAAGGGAAATTTAATCCTTGGAAAACGTGGGTGACAGTCCTGGGCTGGCTGCGTGTCCGGACCCGGCATCCAGGGCCCCCTCACAGCCCCCCAGGGGAGGGAAGAACATCAAGAACTCGTTAAAAACCAACCCCCCCCCAGTGCCCTCGCTAAGTGCGTGCAACTGCTGCCCCCAAAAACCCACCCTGGGGGCCCATGGGGAGCCCGCTGGGGGCACAACTCACACCGAGGAGCAGGAGCTGAGCTCTGACCAAGGTGGCTGCAACCCCCCCCCATGCCCGGGCACCCCCCAGGGCCCGCTCAGGGGACCCCCAACTTCTCCTCCAGCCCTCCGGAGCCGCGGGGTGCCCGGCGTTATTTGGGGGAGCCGGGGGGCTGCCCCGTGGCGATGCGGCTGACCCGCTCCAGGACGTCCTGGGGGCACAGCGGGGGCACGGCCTGGGCCAGGGGACACTCCTCCACCAGGCTGTTCATGGGGGTGGGCGGGGGCACCACCTCCTCCTCGGGACCCCCGGCGGCCCCCGCGCCGCCCAGCGCTGCCCGCAGGATGGGCAGCACCTTCTTCCTGGACGCCAAGGCGTTGCCCTGGGCGAAGGCGCCCACGCAGGGCCAGGGGCTGGGCAGGGGCTGCAAGTGCAGGGACGGCGCCGTCGCCTCCTCCAGCGCCCGGCACAGCTATGAGGGAGCGCCAAAATCAGGAGGGTTTGGGGCAAACCGGGGCCGAGGGCGCCCGGCCCCCCCAGCTCACCGTGCCGCGGAGGGACTCGCACCGGCTGAACACGGCCAGCTTGCGGGTGGGCTCGTGGCGCTCGTCGAAGGAGACGGTCATGGCCACCAGCCCCGCGTAGCCACGGGCCTGGCAGAAGGCGTCCAGGTCCTGCAGCAAGCCAGGCCGGAGCAGGAACGTCTGGAGACGAGGGAAGAGGCTCTTCGGTGTCACCGCCGTGTCCCCGGCAGTGCCGCTCCCCGGTTCCCTCCCCACCGAGCCTCACCTCCAGGTCCACGTAGACGCCGCTGATGGCGAGGACCAGCTCGTCGCCGGAGATCACCTTGAGGTCCTTGCGCAGCATCTGCTCCGTCGTCAGCCCTGGGAGGGGACGGGGCGGGCGTGAGCCCCCGGCACGCGCCGCCGTCCCCGGGGAGACAGGGGGGTCATCCCCGGGGCCTCGCCGCACCTGAGACGTCAAACTTGGCCGCCTGCAGGGCTCCGAAGACGCTGTCGCGGGGCGGCAGCTCGGGGAACCTCTCCTCGAGCAGGGCCACGCACGCCACGTCCCGCGGTGTCACCTTGCCGGCGGCCGGGCTCAGGTTGATGCAGTCCAGGAGGATGGTGCCTGCGGGGGACACGGGGGGGACGTGTTGGCACCGTCCCCTCAGCCGGGGCCGGGCCGGGCCCCCCCCGTCCTCACCGTGCAGCAGCGCGGCCGTGGTTCTGTCCAGCAGCCCCGGGGGGCCCTGGGCGATGCGCTCGGTCACCAGCGTGGCACAGGAGCCCACCGGCTCCACCGTCACCCGGCACGGCGGGCCCCGCTCCCGCTCCAGCGGCCGGTGGTCCAGCACCTCCACCACGGCCTCCTCCAGGGCTGCGTCGGCACTGCCGGGCAACACGGGGAGGGTCACCCCCGGCAGAGCCCGGGAGCCCCCTGCATTCCTCTCCTTCCCTAAAAACACCCCGCAAAGGGATAAATCCGCCCCGTGCCGTGCCAAGCGAGGAAAGCGCAGGGCTCCGGGCGGGCGGGCGTCCCCGTGTCACCCCCCCGGCTCACCCGGGCAGGACGTGGTGATCCACCAGCGTCAGGGAGAGCAGCCCGGCGTGGTGCAGCCCCCCCAGGTCGATCTCATCCCGAAAGATGAGGGAGGCGGCCGGGACGCCCCGGTCCCGCAGCAGGAACGTCGTCTCCGTCCGCAGCGCGAAGTCGGCGCGGGGGATGTTCAGCACCGGCACGAAGGCGGCTCCGGGAGCCGGGGAGCTCTGCGGCGGGGGGGGGGGGTGACACCCCGTGAGGCGTCCCCCGGGCCACCGCGTCCCCGAGGCAGCGGGAGGGACCCACCTGGGCCAGGAAATAGGCCATGGCCAGCGCCGAGACCGTGGAGTCCAGGTCACAGGCCTCGTTGCCCATCACCACGTGGACCTCCCGGCGATGCTGGATGTGATCCTGCCGGGACGGGACACGTCAGGCGTGGCAACAACACGTCTCCGTCCTCCAAAAACCCCCCAGACACCCCTCCTTCCCCTTCAGGGGGTCACCCCAGCCTCCCTGGAGCCACTCATCACCCATGTCACCCACAGATTCCACCCCCCAGGCGGGCTCCTGGCGACCCTGGGATCCACTTCTGGCACTAAAGCCTCAGCTTTTTGGGTATGTGTGTGAAATGGGGCTCCGGGGAGAACAGGAAAACCCACCTCAGCCCACCGTGGGGACAGGGACCATCCCAGCCCCACAGCCCTGGGAGCATTTAGTATTTTAACTCATTTTTCCCAGAAACAGTGAGTTTGGGGCTGGTTGTCCCCCCCCAAAACATGTTGTTTCACCCCTTTTTTTCTTCCCTGCAGCAGCAAGAAAAACACGTCGCTCCCCCCAGCGCCTGTCACGCTCCAGGGAGCCGCCCCAGCCCCAGGCTGTTTTTTGGGGACAATCTCTCCTGCCATGACCCAGATTCACTCGTTGCTTCCATGGGAGCCCAGGAAATAAAGCCCCGGGAGCAGCAGGTCGGGGGACCCACACCCCGGGTGCTGCAGGGGGTGGGGAGGGGCTGCTGGGGAGCCCCCGGCCAGGGAAAGGGTTTGGGGTGTCCCTGGTGTGGCTGTGGAGGGAGCAGCTCCTCTCCCCAGGGGAGATGGGTGCACCCCTCTTGGGGGTATTGGTGCTCTGGGCACCCACACCCCCTGCACCCCATTCCCCTGGGCATGCAGATCCCCTGCACCCCATCCCTCTGGTCATAAAGACCCCCTGCACCCCATTCCCCTGGGCATGCAGATCCCCTGCACCCCATCC